CAGGTACTTACTGATGTACATTTTATGTGAAGATCATGAGGTTTTAAAATTGGTGAATGTCATAGGCATTTGGGTATTTCCTGACTTTGGCTGTGGAAATAAGGGTTAGGGAATTAGCTCCCAGGAGTAGGAAGATAAATCTTCAGTTAACCAATAAAGTCCTTATTTTGTCTGGCCCTGTATCCACTCAACGACTTGTAATTTGTTTTATAACTGAAAAAAAAGGGACTTTTGCTGCCTCTTGACAATCAAGAAATCCATGACACATGGGACTGTAATGGTTCAGGGCGCTACATGTTCACTGACTTGTCAACTGGGAAGTTTCCAGATCTCTCGAGGCTTGTCTACTGCTCTGACAGGCAACAGAAGTATTGCCATTTATTGCTCGCATAATAATAAGAATTTATTATTTTAGGATGGCACTTTTCTCGTTAGAGACAGCTCTAAAAAAACAATAACCAATCCATACGTCCTCATGGTGTTGTATAAAGATAAAGTTTACAACATCCAGATCCGTTATCAAGAGGAAAGCCAAGTCTACTTGTTGGGAACAGGACTCCGAGGTAAAGAGGTAAGGAACTCTAGTTGCAAAATGTACCCAAATCCTTTGTTTATGCCATTCTGCATACCTACCTATATGGAAGCTTGCTGTAACATTCTTTGGGGGCCATACTGTCTGGCAACTTTAGAGTTAAATCACATTGGTGAAGTCCTTCCTTTACTGGAAGGAAATAAAGTGACAATAGCTACCTCTGCCATGGGGTCTTTCTTGTATCTTCTCTTCCAACTAGTCTAAAATCACATGTATAACTTTTAAATTAAAAAAATTAACATTTAAATTGAAAAATATACAGTTAGACGGTATCAAAGATAAGCCCTTTCTTTCATTCACCTATGTAACATAATTTTAACATTAAGATTGCAGCGTTATTTACAAGGCTGTATTTTAAAACTGACATCTGGTGGCCAACAGACACATGAAATGATGCTCAGCATCCCTCCTCATCAGGGAAAAACAAATCAAAACCACACTGAGATACCACCTCATGCCAGTCAGAGTGGCTAAAATGAGCAAATCAGAGAACTCTAGATGCTGGCGAGGATGTGGAGAAACAGGCACCCTTCTACACTGTTGGTGGGAATGTAAACTGGTACAGCCCCTCTGGAAAACAGTGTGGAGGTTCCTCAGGAAACTAACAATAGAACTCCCCTATGACCCAGCAATAGCACTGCTAGGAATTTACCCAAGGGATACAGAAATGCTGATGCATAGGAGCACATGTACCCCAATGTTCATAGCAGCACTCTCCACAATAGCTAAAACATGGAAAGAGCCTAAGTGTCCATCAACAGATGAATGGATCAAGATGTGGTTTATCTATACCATGGAATACTACATGGCAATGAGAAAGAATGAAATCTGGCCATGTGTAGCAACATGGATGGACCTTGAGGGTGTTATGCTGAGCGAAAGAAGTCAGGCAGAGAAGGACAAATATCATATGTTTGCACGTATAGGAGGATTAGGAGGAACTTGACGGAGGAACAAGGGGGAGAAAAAGGGCGGAAATGGTGGGGGAAAGGGAGAGAGGCAAACCATGAGAGACTCTTGAATGCTGAAAAAACTGGGGACGGGTGGTGGGGGGGGGTGGGGGGGATGGGCATGGAGGAGGACACTTGTGGGGATGAGCACTGAGTGTTATGTGGAAACTAATTTGACAATAAACTATTTGTTAAAAAAAAACTGACATCTGGAAAAGTGTAAAAAAAATAGAATTCTTGTTGTGATTATTTAAATACTTGAGTCATTTCTCACTTAAGAGAAATTTTCCTCTCTTTGGTCAATGTTTATGCTAATTACTTTTTGGATGGTAATCTAAAAAACTGCTTTTGCAAAGGAAACTCACAGCTGAACTTAAGCCCCAAACACAGTCTTTAAGTTCAAAGGTCCAGGACGTAGATCAGTTGACTCAAACATTTCCAGAATGAAAAAGAGCTAACCCTTAGACTCCACTCCAAATATTTTTAAGTTGTGCATGTAAATGAGTAGGAAAAAACACATGATTCCTGTCCAATGTTTCAATCACTGGTTCAATGTGGCTAGGGTTGCTTGGTGCTATAGTAGCAGAGAGCTGTCTGCTCTCCAGAATTTCTGTTCGTCTGGTGTGAAACCAGAAGTACAAAGCACAGGCTGCAGCCCTGGTGGGGGGCATCCAGTAGAGTGGTCTTGGAGCAAGTACATAATCCTGTGTGGGACCCTATGTGATTCTGACCCACATCTAGAAGGCTGGATGGGTTTTACTCCAGTCTGGCCATCAGGGATAAGGTGATGAAGGCGATGGGTACAAAGACTTGGCTGCAGAGCCCTTGTGGGTGTGGATATGACAGTGAGGAGAACAGAGAGATCATGAAGGAACCACTGTGCAATGCTACAGGTATCACCTCCAGACACCAGGACACTGTCCGACCTCCTGATTCCTTATAGCTCCTCACGCTCTTAGTGATGAAGAGTGAAGTAGGAATACAGAAACCGAAATCAAAAACACAAGCAGAGCAATTCTAAGGCAAAGGTTTCATAGACCTCCTATATATTTATGACCCCTATGAAGTTAAAATATATATACACATACATATATTTACATTGTCTTTTATCCATAATTTGTTGGATGTTGAAAAATTATTTTTTCAAAGTTCTATAGACAAATCATGAAGGTATTTGCTGAATTTTATGTATATTTTCTTGCTATCCTCATAACTTGAAGAGGTAGAATCTTATGCAGATAAAAAATACTAAGAGTGAAATTCACATGCTTGGCTTCTCCACTCATTCTAATGTTGATTTATCTCCTTATTTTGAATTTATAGGACTTCTTGTCTGTGTCAGATATCATCGAGTACTTCAGGAAAATGCCACTTTTGCTCATCGATGGGAAAAACCGAGGCTCCAGATACCAGTGCACATTAACACATTCTGCAGGTTATCCCTAGCAAGTTAGCCAAGCCCACGAACCTGCCTTCTGGTTCTGCTGCCAGCATGGGACGCTCAGTCAACCTTGCTGAAAGGACAAACACTTAAGACTGAATCGAACCCCTCAAATTGAACACAGGGTTTTAACCTTTCGCATAAAAAAGTGTTTGAAATGAAGACTGTCAAATATCTCCTAATTTATTTATTCTTCTTCAATGTTTGTAAAATGCATGATGTTCACACTTGAAGTCTAGCAGTGCACTGTAATAATTCATTTTTAAAAATGTGTACTTTGGGATTGCCATTTCAAAGTACAGTAGTTTACATGGTGACAGAAATAATTTGGGGCAAGTTTGAAAACACTCAAACAGTAATAGTTTTTGGTATCGCATAAAACTGATTTTTTTTTTATAGCCAAACCTTTGTTAGTCAGAGGCAATCATCGGTGTTATATATATAATTTGAAAATTTCTAAAATTCACTTTCTCGGCAGCAATAATTTAAGAGGCTTCAAACTATTTCATCCTTTCTTATTTGGTGTCTTTTGCTGGGGGGATTTTTGTGTACTTTTTTATGAAAAGATAAATGCATGATGGGATAACTTCCTAGGATTAAAATGAATTTACCTTTTGCTTTACTTCTGTGTTCCTAAAACTATTGACTTTTTTAGGCCCTACTATTGCATTTTAGTTTTAAAGCAAATTTAAGCTACAAACACCAGAAGAAATCATTTTAAATTTAGAGATGAGGCTTTGGTGTCAATAGATCTGATGTAAGTTCATCATGTACTGACACCCAACATCTCACCAGCCCTGCACCTCCCACAACTCCAAAAGCATTCTCAAGTGATGTGGATTTTACTAAAGTCTTACTGCAAAGAGGAAAGAGCAATGCATATACACAGAAAAATGTGATCAGACTTTCCTATTAGAGGCCTTTCTTCTATCTCTTTTATCCCCTGACAACTCTACCATAAAGGCCTTCTCATCATCCTTCCTAAAAATCCTTTGAAGCAATTCAGCCCTTTGCTTCAGCTTACGTATCTCACTTAACAGACAGTAGTAGGTGTTCAGCACAACACAAACCAGGCACGTGGTTGTTCTTCAAGTTTTCCCCTTTGGGGCCTTGGTTATTATTCCACAACTTTTATTAACAACAAAAATTCTTGGCTTCTCTGCTTAATCTACAAATTTTCGAGTGGCAAAAAGTATCTTGCATGTTTATTTTCATAAGCTAAAATAGAATATAAGAAGGGGGCTTAGAAGTCGCCTGGTTAAAACTGATGGTTTGCTAAGATAACAAGTATGTGAAGACTTTCATCCAGTGATGAGAATGTTTCTTCATCAAGCTTCCTCCTTACAAACTGAGAGTTCTCGGTTTAGGGTCCAGAGCTTGGGAGGTCTAAAGCTGAAAAATCTGCATTCATTTACAAGTTTACTCAACAGGATTTCAACAAGCATTTATTTAGAGCCTATTCTGTGTTAAACAAGATGCTGGGTGGTGAGGATAGCAGACAGTGGGAACTGACTCTGTGTGCTGCTTTACTGTATGCTATCCTTTATGTTTGACAATCTCTAAAACGAGGGAGGTAGTAGACTTTAAAGCAACTATTTGATGGTGAATCAGGTCAGCTGCCCGGCCTCTACCCTCTTCTCCCTGCCATGTGTAGGAGACCCGCCTATAAGAGAAGAGGATAAGGTCCACGCACAGAAATAGAACCAGGCTACAGACATGTGATAACTTAGTAGAGTCCCTGAAGTCTATTTCAACCATGGACTTCCAAACCACATGACCCAATAAATGCTTCAGCTGGCTTGAGTTGTTTTTGATATTTGTTACCAGGAGAGATCTGATTAATACAAACTCTGTTTCCATCTACTTACAATTTGGCTAACTCTCTTTCAAAGTGAGCCAAACTCAAGCATAAAATGAAGGATAAGCAATGCCCATGGCCAATTTCCTATGCCATATTCTTGTCACTAGTGCAACAGTCGTTCCTTGAAACAGTAAAATGATAAAACAGCCTTCAAGAATATTAAATGATTATTTACAACTCATATTTTTATTTTCTTTTTTATCATATTGAATATATTAGTAAACTCCATTCTCCCAGATATGTGTTAATTCCACCATAAATACAGTTATACATACACAACAAACAAAAAGAAATCAGACAGAAAAACTGTTAGAAACAAAGGATACATCTGATATCTTAGATTCATCAAAGAGGAGGGGCCTTCCTTCTGTTTCCTCTAAGTCATCTGTCTTCACAGGATGATTAAAATGTAAAGTAAGGTCACAAAGTAGCAACTGGGAGAGTTCTATGTAAAACAAAATAATAGAAGATACTATCTTGGAGCACATATATACCAGAGACAACTATTATCACTATTTTTTTAAAAGATTTTATTTTTAAGTAATCTCTACATTCAACATGGGGCTCAAACCCACAACCCCAAGATCAAAAGTTGCATGCTCTACCGACTGAGCCATCCAGGGACCCCTATTATTACTTTTAGTAGCTATTTCTAATTCTTAAGTTTTCTCCTAAGTGATTATTGATCAGACAACAACCAAGTGTGCCCCATCATGACTTAAGGTCAAATTTATGTACTATAAAATAAGCAAGACATAAAAATTAGCTAGCAGGCTCTTTAGTTCAACTTGTATACTATCTTACTAAACTGCAATTTGAGTTATACAAATTTGATTTATGCTTTTTTTTAACTTACTCTTTTTATGTTCTGTATGTATAGAGAATCAAATAGATCTATAAGGCATGTTACAAAAAATAGCAGTTCCTATCTGCGAGAGGCAAACACTTTTAACTTTTTTTCCCCACCTATACTGTTTTCCTTGCTTTTGTTGTTTGGTGTGTGTCTGTGTTTAGTGTCTTCTGGCTTTGTTTGGGGGTAGGCTGGTATTTACCTCCGTATCTCTAAATGACGTGTGTATTTTATTTTTTCAATTGTAGCTTTATCTATCTGCTTCTGACTACAGGTTAAGATATAGCTCTTTTCATTGACCCCGACTCCCCTAGAGAGTACTTAAGAATATAATTTTTGCTAGCTCAAAATTTAAAGGTTAAAATTTTTTGATTATTATAAATATGCTTCACAGCTGAGCTTTGCAGTACATTTCCCTTCCTGCACAGTACCACCCAATCACGGTTGATAATTTTCTTTTTCACTGCTTAATTATCATAAATATATTCCAAATCTTCCCTGGTTGGGCAGATCTTCTTTTGACATAGCCAGATGCCTTAGCTGTCTGACTGTGGAAAAGTTGCTCCTCTCCTACAGCCTTCTGATCTACTCTAGTGTGGACTGACTGCTCTCTCGGACCTCTGAACAGCAAGCATCTGGGAACTCCGTTCACCACTAACCCAGAAATTCCTTTCACCCCTCCCTTGTGTGGAATATCCTTTTCCCAGAATCTCATTTCTGTCTCTTTTTGGTCTGCTACCTTGTTTGCTGGAATAGGACCTCAGTAACGTCCTGCAGGTGGGAAACAGTGTGAACATTTCTCTTTCTACCTCATGCTTAATAGATCGAGTGACTACAGAAATCTAGATTAGAAATCATGTTTCCTCAGATTTTCAAAGGCCTTGCCACATCTTCTTCTGGCTTCCAGTGTTGCTATGAGAATTTTCGTGATTTTAATTCTTAATTATTGTTTCTCTTTAGAAACTTCAAGGATCTTTTTGTTTTCCCAGAATAAAATTTCACAGTATTGTGCCTTGGGGGTCTACTTTCAACCAGTGTGTCGGGCTCTTTCATTTTAGAAACTCCTCCCCTTCAGCTCTTTACATTTTTCTCAGATTATTTCTTTAATGAATTCCTCCCCATGCATTGTCTGTGTTCTTTCTTTCTAACACTGCTATTCACCAAATGTTGAACTTCCTTGACTGATCTTAAAATTTTTTCTCCCTAAAACTTTCCATCTCTATTTTTTTGCTCTATACTCTAGGTGATTGTCTTCATTTTATCTCTCAGCCTTTCTACAGTTTATTTCTATTATTGCATCTTTAATTTCCAAGAATTCCCTTCTCTAAACTTTTTTTTATAACATCATATTCCTGTTTCATGGACATAGTATCTTCTCTTACTTCTCTTTAGCTATTGACAGTTTCTTGGGAGTTTTCATATCATTTCATGATTTCTGTGTCTTCATCCTTGACCGAATTGATGTACTGACTTTGTCTCTACCTTTCATATTATGCTTTCATCAAATACGTACTCCATCAGAGCTATCTGCTCATATTTAAGACCATGGCACTAAAGACTACTGGAAACTCTGTGTAGGCTATATTGGGGGGTGAGCTGGCTGGGTATTTTGTTGAGGGGAACATCTGCTATCAGTATATTTAGGTGGGTTTTTTTTTTTTGTTTTTTTTTTTAATTCTCTTAGACTGGTGAGATTCCTGAAAGAAAAATCTTCTTGAGTGCATAAATCTGGTTGCCAATGTTTGTAGCCAAGTGGGAAAAGAAAGCTGGGGGTCTTATAATTCAATATGTAAACTTTGTCCTAACACCCTTGTTTTCAGTACAGCACCCTTCAACTTGTGGCTAGGAGCCCCAGGCCAGAGAGTGTCTCAGGGACTAAGCCTCAAGTTCTGTCCTAGAAAAGGAACAGGTGCCTAGTTACACACAGAGGGGAAGAGTACTTAAGGGTCTACAACTTCTTAAACATTTAACCAGTCTTCCTGCCCTGAGCTCCACTTTTACCCCAGCTTCCAGAGGATTCTGGTGCCACCACATATTGAGTCTTTGGGATTATTCATTGGCTTTACCCAGCCAGCTCATGGTTCAAATTTTTGGACATTAGGGTTCAGACTTTTGTTTACTTAACTTGCTTTCTATTTCACTATTAACTTTTTTTGAGAGCTCTTTGCCTTGTGGATTTCCATCTCTTTAAAATCACTTTAAATTTAAATCTCAAGTTTACTAGTGACTAGTTGTATGACCTTGGGGAAGTTAGTTAACCTCTCTATATCTGTTTCTGTATTTATAAGTGCCAATGGTAGTATTTCCTACCTCACAAGTTGTAATGACAATTGAATCTGTTTATATAGAGCTCTGGAAAGGTATCTGGATTATGGCAAATGTTATATGTCAGCTACTGACATTATTTATTTAGAGAAGGAAGTGTGGCTAAAAGGAATGTGGTTCATTTGCTCTTCCATGTTTACCAGTGTCCCATTTACTCTAGCTCCACAAGTCCCTATATCCTAACTGCCTGACCTACCCCACAGCTTCTCAGGAACACAACCATCATACTGACAAGTTCTATCTTACTTCACAAAAGAATAATCCCCAAACTAGAAAGGCTAGATAATCAAGTTTAAGAGGAATCTAAAGCTTCTCTGTGTTAAATGAGTGCAAACATCCAGAAAACAATTATTTATTTAATAAACATTTCCAAGAACCTATTATATCAAGGCACTGTGTTAACTGCTAGGAATACCCTTAAGGAGCTTACTGTTGAGCAGGGATAGGAAAAGTAAGTAAACATGCAATTATAACAGAGTGTGATAGGTAATATGAAAAGGCAGGAGAGATAACACGTTTGCTTAAAAAAGTTTTTCCAGTGTAAGTAACCTTGACTAATAAGTAGCAGTTAACCTGGTGGGGTGAAGATGGGGGTATAGCAGTGGGCATTTCAGAAGATACATCTGTTATGGTACAGACATGAAAAAAGAGAACTATGTAGATTTGCAAATAGTTCAGCACGGCTGTAGCAAAGAATATGCTGGGATAAAAGAATGATAAGATACTGGAGAGGCAGACAGGGGCGTGATCTCAAGAGATCTTATAGTCCATTCTAGGAGGTCGGGACTTTACTCTGGGGCAATAGTGAGCTAATGACTCACATTTTAGAAAGAAAATTCTTCTTTTTATCATTGAGATTGGTTTTGGGAGATGATAAATTAAGCAAAGATAACCAGATTTCTTTAGATCAGATGCCTCAGTGCCTTTGTACTATGAATTTTTGAGAGAAACATACAGCATAAAGCACTTCCCAAATTATCTGACTAGAAGAACATGAACTCTGTTCTTACTGCACACCACCTATTAATATCTCTTGAAACAGCAAGGTTCACAGATCAAAGTCTGGGAAATGCTGCCCTAGGAAGGACACGCAGGAAAAACATACTCGACATGCACTGTTTGGTGCCTAACTAACAACCATTTTCCTCTTCTTGGTGGCACAACTTGATTCCATTTGAGGTGATCCTCTCCCCAGCTCCAACAGTAAGTTCTGACTGGTCCAAACTGGTCTTGGCAGTCCCATTCCCCTTGACTGTGGCTGGTGCAAGCATATGCCTTTGACACAAATCTGGCCACGAAAGGATAGTGAAAACATGCTGGAGGGATCTGGGAAAAGGCGTTTATAGGGAAGTGGCAGATAGAGTGTCTGCAGATGGCCCCACCTGCAGGTAATGACTATGAGTGATACACAGAGTGAACATAACAGAGCAGAAAAAATGGAAAGAGCCTGGTACAGGCAGCAGCTTTTAAAATTCTGAATTAATTCTGGGCTGTCCTACCCTGAGTCCTCTTATTTCCTTACTGTATATGCCACATTAAGTTGGTATTTTGTTATTTGTAGCTGAATTCCCTGTAAGTGCCAGTTACACAGAAGGTATCTTCAGATATCCAAGAGTTGTCCTAACAAGAATACCCACATATTCACTGAAGTTTTCCCTTTAGAAATAGGACCAGTGAATGAAAGGAAGAGGGGAACAGATTTCAGCTAGTCCATAAGGAGGAGCTGTCTAAACAGAAAGAGACTGACTGGTGAGATAGGGAGTTCTCCAGCATAGGAAATATTTGGTCAGGGGTAGACTGTCCCTAGAAATATTCAATCATGGAAAGTTTACATGTCTGGAGTAAAATAAGGGTATGTCTGTGAGATGAATGACTAAACATCATGAACTGTAAGGTCTAATCCTACTCGATGAATCTGTTTACAACAAAGAACCCGTAACTCGCAGAATCAAACAAACTTATAATTTTTAATTTGGAAGGAACCTTAGGGGCTTAGAAAGCTTAGTGGATAGGGACACTGAATGTTGCAGAATGTGACAACACTGTGCAATAGTATATTGAAGGGAAGGAAGGGAAATAAATTTAGAGGGGGTTAGTTAGACAACAGCATAAGCTTGTTAGTGTCAGGGATGGGAATTCAAGTCTGCTAACTCCCCGGAAAATTCTCAAACATAATTTTTCTTTAGAGATCTGGTTCATATTACAGTGTAAACATTGCTGAAGAAACAGAGAAATCCTAATTAGTAGGCAAAATTCAGTTATATCCCAGCAGAAGCACAATTTGGCTCTACTGGTGGTTTTATAACTATGGCATGCAAACATTTTAATTTAGTGATTCCACACTTACCTTGCATCTTCTTCAACTCCAAAGAAATCGTGTTAATGTTTTTAATTATGGCTTCCATGTTCAGCTTATGGTCAGTAACATTATTCTTAAACATCTGATTTTAAAAGACAAACAAGATTAATAAATCAGAAGCCATCTATGTGCACTTCGAAAACACTTAAATTTTCAGTATTTCTAAAATGAAAATCTGGGGCGCCTGGGTGGCTCAGTCTGTTAAGCGTCTGACTTCGGCTCAGGTCATGACCTCACGGTCCGTGGGTTCGAGCCCTGTGTCAGGCTCTGTGCTGATAGCCAGCTCAGAGCCTGGAGCCTGTTTCAGATTCTGTATCTTCCTCTCTCTCTGACCCTCCCCTGCTCATGCTGTCTCTGTCTCTGTCTCTCTCTCAGAAATAAATAAAACATTTAAAAATTTTTTAAAAAATAAATAAAAGGAAAATCTGTTATTTCAGAACTGAAAGAATTGTGAATGTCAATATAATGGTTAGAATTCTAACATAGTAAGGCATCAACTTGTTTATATTTTCCAAACAAGGACATTTCCAGCTAAGATTCATAGGGTGAGCTTTCTTCTTTAATGACACCAGATAACGTGATGGGACCCTTACAAAAGAAATGCAGATGTCCCCTGTTCAGAAAGCCTCAGCACTTATAAACTATCTTATAATTAAACAGTCATATAAAATCTTCCCCAACTTTGTTTATGTAAGGCAGTGTATTTTTCTAACTTATTTTTGAAGGACATGGTCCACAGTAAAACTCAAAGTAAGATTCAAGTATAATTCATAAACTAAGAAGATGGTAAAATGGCCACTGTTATGTTAGCTTTGGGAATTAGGGCAATAGACTTTTAAAAAATTCTGGCTAATTGAAATGTGTAAATCAACAGGTTATAATGCTGTATGTAGAATACATATGTTTTAACCAATTGTGTCAGATACAAATACAAAAACAGGTTTACTAGAAACTAATCTTAACCATTCAAATCTCTCAAAATGACTTGAAATAATAACCCACAATTAGCACGCACAACTCCAGCAATGTGAAAGGTGGGCAATTACGAGTCAGGCTGCTTATCCACAATAATGAAAATAAACTAACCTTTAAGTCAATTTCTTGCCTCTGCTTTCTTCCGAGTCCAGGAATTTATCCTATTTCACTCACTTCAGAGCCACTACAAAGAAATAAAAATTTTGTTTTCCAAGCAATGAATAAAATATACTTTGCCTCCACCTATGAAACCCTACAAACCAAAAAGGGAATGATAGCTGTCTTACTTGGTTGGGTATAGCAAAAAAAGATTTATGTTCCAAGGGAAAAGATTATGGGAAGGGGAAGGAAAGAGAGGGAAGGGAAGGAAGGGAAGGTAGGGAAAAAAGAAAGAAAGGAAAGGGAAGGAAAGGAAGGGAAGGGAAATATAGGGAAGGGAAGGGGAAGGAAGGGAAAAGGGAGGAAGGAAGTGGAGATGCTAGAATTAAAGAATTTTAAAAATGAAGAAAGGGGGCGCTTGGGTGGCTCAGTTGGTTAAGCATCCGACCTCTCTTGAGGTCATGATCTCACCCTCGGTGAGTTGGAGCCCTCACTGGGCTCTGAGCTGACAACTCAGAGCCCGGAGCCTGCTTTGGATCGTGTCTTCCTCTCTCTCTGCCCCTCTCCTGCTCATTCTCTGTCTGTTCCTCTCTCAAAACTTAAAAATGAACATTAAAACAAGTTTTTAAATTTAGAATGGTTTAAAAAATAAAAATTAAAAAACCAATGGGCAAGTAGAAACTAAGTGGATAGAGGCATGCCCAGGAAAGTTGATCTTCCCGCCAGCGAGGTCTGGTTTTCCAGCACCCTCGCGTGCCCCTGGATGGGTGGGGTCAGGAGGTAGAGCTGGGGCTGGAGCCCGCCGGACTGGGGAGATGGGTTAGGCCATTGCTCAGAAAAAGGAGAGGGCGGTCAAAGGGCACTCCCCAGAAGTGACAAGTGGTGAGCCGGCCTTAGGGACAGAGGGAACAGGGGACTCAGAGGCCAAGATACCATAGACACTAATGCCAGCAAAGGCACTAACCTCCAACCAGGCGGCCCTCAACCTGACGCGGGATTACACCGCCACAGCTTCTGTCCTAAAGGACAAGCCCTCCTCCTCATCCCAACCTCCACCCTGAGGAGCTGCAGGGTGCCGCTGGCCCGCCCAACCGCCACTGTGACTGAGGAAAGCCTCGAAGTTTCCACAACCCTTCTGCTCCCAAACCGGACCAGTACCACGTAAAACCCACTCAGCGTGACCCTGGCCTGGGGACGACCACCCGCACCGCCTGAATCCACACAACCATCAGCCCATTCTGGATCCAACCCAGGTCTGTAAGGAGCCTCGGGCCCTTAGGGCCTGGCTGCTTTGACGATGACGACGAGGCCTGAAGCAGCCTGGAAATTTCAACAGCCTCCACCTCTCCCCACCCCAAACCTCATTAGGATTATTTGAGACCCAGGAACCTCGTTTTGCCCACAAACCAGCTCTGTCTACACCCACCTGGCCGGCCAACCCTCACCAAAGTTCTGACGGCAGGTGGGGCGGAGCTGAAAGCGAATGGTGGGAATGTGCTTCCTGATTGGCCAGCTTCTCTGGCTGGTGCATCCTGGGAGTTGTAGTTCCAGACAAGGCCCTGGCGCAGAAAGTTCTGGATGTGAGACTGGAAGTGACTGGCACTGACCCGTGGGCTGAGAGGGAGAGTGGAAAAGGCACTGCCATTTTGCTTCCTGTGTGCCAGGCACTGTGCTAGATGCTTCCCAGCCCTTAATCTGCATTTAATTTTTACAGTACAAGAGTGTGATTAAGGCCAGACTCTAGACCAAAACTGCTCAGGTTTGAAACTAATGCCAACAGTGTGTTTAGGTAGAGACGTGCTGGTAAGCACTTTAATCATTTAGAGTCCCACTGTCCTTATCTATCATGTGGAGGTAATAATAACTGCCTTCTAGTTTTCTTTTTTTTTTTAATATTTTATTTATTTATTTTTATTTCTGAGAGAGAGAGAGCATGAGCAGGGGAGAGTCAGAGAGAGAGAGAGAGGGAGACACAGAATCTCCAGGCTCTGAGCTGTCAGCACAGAGCCTGATGCGGGGCTGGTACCCACGAACCATGAGATCATGACCTGAACTGAAGTCGGACGCTTAACCGACTGAGCCATCCAAGTGCCCCCTTCTAGTTTTCTTTTGAGGTTTAAGTGAGATAATGCTTCAAAGTTGCCCAATAAATGTTAGCTATTACCGGTCCTGTAAGTCCTTATAGATGAGTGAAGAGGCAGGAGAGAGGAGTACTTGCCAGTGGAGAAGCTGGGATTCAAGCCATCTTTGTTAGATTCTCTGGCACTACAGAGGAATCTCTGGCACTACCATCTCCCCAAAGGGGATGGGCCTTAGACTTACTAAACAATCCTTGCCTTATCTAAGCCTCCCCTAAAATACCCAGCAGCCTCTTGAACCAGTCTTTTCTTGGCAACCTGCAGCACATAGTCTGTTGTGTATTTTATACCCAGTTACTTTCAGTTTGACATCAGCATTTGTTGTCTGATACAGAGTGAGATGAAGAGGGACACACAGAACCAACTTCAGTCCTAAGGAGAACTACCTATGTAATCTTGGAAAGGAGTAACTGCCTTCCTCCCAACCTCAGTTTCCTTGTCTGTTTCCTTATGAGAGGGATTGGCTACATCAATGTGTCCCAAATTTCACTCACTGTAAGGCCAGTGTTATGACTATTTGCTCTAAACTATGTACTACCTATTTTACTACCTTAGTATTTTAAATTTACTTTCCTTTAAAATTTAAATCTATTTAAAAAATTTTTATATATCATCAATGTAAACAGAAGGTGACAGGAAAAATAAAGACAATAGAAATAAGACAATATTTGTAATCATCAAGACTTTCTTTCCTCCTGATGGCTGTGTTCCTGCAGCTAGATCTTCTTTGTTAAAATCGGTTATTATGTATTAGAGAAGTGTTAAAGATAGTCTAGCACAAACTGAGGATTTTTTTTTATGTGATTAGGACTGAAAGAATTGGACAGGAGATAATTCTCACTTGTGATTATGCGTTGTTTAATGCCTGTGTACCATATAAAGCCATCTCTCATATCCCTTGTGGGATATGTCCCGCCCTTTGCTCAACCTAGAACTAGGTGCTGTCCCTTTCTAAGACACCTTCTCAACAAGCTTTGGGTGCCTTTCAAAACTCACCTCAATCCTGGAAGGAGTCTTCTTGAATTAACCCTACTCAGATCTGCAGTTTCATACCAGTCTCTCTGCCAAGGCGTCCCTCGCTCATTTTAACTGAGGGCACTTGCTGGTGTCAGTCCTGCATTTTCTTATTTCTTATATACGCGCTGAGCATTTTTTACCTAATTCTTTGAGTGCTGAGAAAGGAGGGGAAAAGATCAGCTAACAAACATTTATTTAGCACTCACTGTGTGTTAAGAATTATGTTAGTGGAGCACCCGGGTGGCTCAGTCCATTAGGTGTCCAACTCTTGGTTTGGGCTCAGCTCATGATCTCAGAGTTCGGGAGTTTGAGCCCTGCATCAGGCTCTGTGCTGACAGCCTAGAGCCTGCTTGGGATTCTCTCTCTCTCCCTCCCTTTCTCTGCTCCTCTCCTGCTTGCTCTCTCTCTCTCTCTCTTTCAAAATAAATAAATAAACTTAAAAAATTAAAGAATTATGTTAGAAGCATTTATCTTCTGACAACTCTCTGCAGTAGCTATTATCATCCCAACTGTGTGGAAAACAAAGCTTGAGATCAGAGACTAGTGCCAGCTCAAGGGCACAAGAACCAGATTCACATTCTCTCTGTGCAACTCCAGAGTCTTCTGTTCTTTTCTCTGCACCAAGTTGCCTCCCAGACCAGGATACCATCTGTAGAAACAAGTACATCATGGCTCCATAATGTCTGGACTTCACAGGTCATTGAACTTAAACACGCATGTACTAATGCACATACAAGCATGAAAGTAACCAACATAGGGTAAGCAACATTTATTTTCGAAATTAAGGACATTAACAAAACAAAAATAACTGCCATCACTGTTTTTATAAAAGCAGAGATAATGTAACATCAAAAGAGAAAGGGAGAAAGAAGGAAGGTTATAATAATTTCAGAGTAAGACCAGCTTAATAAAAATCTTATTGGATGTGTCTTTTTTTTTTCTTCCTCTTCCTTAATCTGATGTAGACTGCAGAAAACTGGACCTCAGACCTGCATCCACATGTGTGTTTGGGAACTCCACATAGGTTAAAGCAGGAGGAAATAAGATGTTTAAGGGAAGTAGGGTGAAAAGTGTAGGTGGGTTGAGATAGCATGAAGACTAAGAATCCTGAAAAGCCAGAGATGATGGGGAGGGATTGGTAGGATGTGGTGTCTGTGTGGCTCCACCATCTCAAACACACCGACTCCTTTCACAGGATGCAGTAAGTATTTGAAGTACCTGTCTCAGCTCAGATACCCATGGATTAGGATTCTGCTTCTAGGACTCCTGATAGAATCCAAGAACTCCCACCCATCCTGAATGCTGATGACTTCTTATGAGTAGAAGTTGTACTTTGAATGCTGTAATTTGGAAAAGATCATCATTAAGCCTTTAAAGAAAAAGGAGAAGAATCAATTTTGTGTTTCTTCAAAATAAGTGGCATAAGAGAAAAAAGAGATGTGGACTCAGAAGAAGATAGATTGTAATAATGTATTTTCCTTCGTTAACATGTCTTAAAGCAATGATGACTGCTTATTGTAGTGCTTTAAGTACCTATAGATTCTTTTTTCTTCTCCTGAGATAATAAAACTTTAAAAGCATGATCTGCTACTTCTTGAGACTGTTATAGATGAGGGCCTAAAAAATCTATCTTCCTTAATAAGTTTGCAATGCTCTATTAGAATTCAACACAGGTTGCTATTGTTGATACTAATGTTAATCAAATAAAGAAGATTAAAGGCTGGTAAATTCTCCCATAAAAAGAAAAACTGTTACAGAACCACAAGGGATTAAGCGTTTTTTGGAGTCGGATGTGAGTGCCTCAGTTTTATTACGAATTCTTGATTTAAAGTCTTTGCTTCCAGGAAATCAAATTGAGTAAAACATCTCACTTCTCACACTTGCTCTCAGAGTTCCCATTCACATTTCCCTGCTCATCGTCAATTAGAAATGCTGGTCGTTGTGCCTGTGGACTGGCTTCCTGCAGGAGAGACAACTCCCATCTGAATATGGCTTTGCGCAACCTTCTTGCATACAAATTTAGAAGGTGACAAGCACATGCTTAGATCATAACTTGTGGAGCATGGCTAGGATCTGATAGATCAAGGTCATCCCCACGTACAGAGCAACCAATGCTCTCCTCATAGCCAATCATGTAAAAAGGCCAGAAAGCACGTGACTTCCCCCACTGTGGTCTGAGGTGAAAGGTGGCTTCCCTGGGCACTGTTGTCTTCACACAGCTGATGTTCCATTGGGCAAAATCACTTTCTTTTTCTCCAGAAGAAGCACTCCTGAGCTTCAGAAAAGTGTCGTTAACGAAAATCCACATTGCTCGCTGTGGCTAAAATTTTTTCACTTCTAATTAAGAAATTACATAAAAGAAAGAAATCCTGCCATTTTTGAAAGTGGGACGGACTATGAGGCCATTATGCTGAGTGAAATATGTCAGACAGAGACTTATATGTACAATCTAGAAACATGGAACTCATAGAAACAGATTGTAGAATGGAGGTTGCTAGAGGTTAGGGGTGGGGGATATGTGAAGATGTTAGGGAAAGGGTACAGATTTTCACTTAGAAGATGAATAAATTCCAAGGATTCAAACTGGTAACTATGGTCAACAATACTCTATTGTATATTTGAAAGTTGCTATGAAAGTAGAGCTTTGAAGTACCTGGGTGGCTCAGTCAATTAAGCGTCCGACTTCAGCTCAGGTCATGATCTCACGGTTCGTGGGTTCAAGCCCCACGTCAGGCTCTGTGCTGACAGCTAGCTCAGAACCTGGAGTCTGCTTTGGATTCTGCGTCTCCCTCTCTCTCTGACCCACCCTTGCTCACACTGCCTCTCTGTCTCTCTCTCTCTCAGAAATAAATAAAACATTAAAAAATTAAAAACAGAAAGAGCTTTAATGTTTTCACCATAAAAATAACAAAATGCTTATTATGTGAAGTCAGGGATGAATTAACTAACCTTATTGTGGTAAACATTTCACAATAGAAATGCATATATAATCATCCCATTGTACACCTTAAACTTAATGTTATATGTCAATTATATCTCAATAAAGCTGAGGAAAAAAGAAATCACAGTCTGTACCAACATTTTCCTCTGAAATAGAAAGCTATCCAAATATAGCTGCCAGATAAAATACAGGACATCCAGTTAAATTTGAATTTTAAGTAAACAACAAATAATTTTTTTTGCTATAAGTATTTCCTGACTGTTGTGCGGCACATATTTATATTAAAAATGCATTTGTTTATCTAAGAGTCAAATTTAACTGAGAATCCTGTACTTTTATTTGTACAATTTGGCAACCCTAGGCCCCAAACACTTCAACCCTGAAA